GTGTGCTGCTCATTGCCCTCCCGGGAGGTGGGCGGGTTGTGGAAACTCCTGGTGGTCGGGCAGCACCGCAGGAAACTGGGCCCACATTTCCCTGGGGTTTGTATCCACACGGCTGAGTCTGAGCCCCAGAGTCCTCGATAAGGATGGTTCAGCCCCTCACTCCCTTTGGGTCTCTGGCAACGAGCTGAAACAGGGCCCGACGCTAGACAGGGAAATGACTTGTCCCAGATCTCTCAGGGCCCAGACTCTTGACTCCCCTAAGGGGCTCATTCAACAGACATCGTGGGTGCTGGGCTCTGTGCAGGTGCTGGAAATGCCTTGAGGACATGATTGGTCTGAGTGCTCACACAGAGCTTCGAGTATAATAAATAGGTGGGTAGACCATAAGCCAGAAAACCAGTTAACACACAGGATGATTTCAGAGTGTGACAAGTACTTAAAAAAGATAAATCAAGGTGGTCAGGAGGGATGGGGGTGCAGTGTTGGGTAGAGTGGTTGCCAAGGAGGTGACATTTGAACTGAATGAGAAGGAGCTGGCCACGTGAATAGAGCAGTCCAGGCAGGGGAATAGCAAATGCGAAGTCCCTGGCTAGAGACGAGCTCAGTGTGATTGGGGGTTGGAAAGGTGACCGAGGTGGGTGGATGGTGATTAAGTGGGAGTCAGGAGCTCAGACTGCAGGGCCTTGGCCGGGTAAGGGGAGGAGGCTTCTGGCAAAAGCAAATTAAAGAGCGTCATCTGAAATGGGGTACGGGATTCCCAGCGTTCGTCTGTAGATGTCGGGCCCTCACCTGCTCTGGGAGCCCAGGTCATTTGGGCATGTCCCTGTCTCCACGTGGCCCTAGCCAGGAGGGCGTTGCCTCTTTGGGGGAGGAATCGTCACTTCACCAGCCGATGTGGGTGATGAAGGAACTTCTCACCATGGTCCCCTAGGGGTTGGGTCTATGAAAACAGAAACTGGACAGATGACGACCAGGGAGAGGCTGAAGGGCTCTGGTTTGGGGACTCGCTGTGCGCCTTGCCTTGTGTGAATGACAGGCCACAGAGAGAGACTGAACCTGGACCACTGCCCTAGAGGTGTGCCCAGGGCGAGGATGGGGAGCGACCCAGAGGCCTGGAACACCAGCTTGGAGGACTTGGCTTTGCACCCAGAGCAGGGGAGCCTTGAACAGTTACTGAGCTGAGTGCAGATACCCAACGTGAATACCCTGGGTTGTGCCCACACCAGAACCTGGAGTTTGAAATGGGGCCAGAGCAAGAGCACAGGCTGGTGCCCAGGCCAGGCCCTGCGGAGGGTGGTGGGTGTGTTGAGGGTGGTAAGATGAGCTTCCAGGACCATGAAGTATTTTGTAAAAACAACACTTTAAATGGGAAGTATGCTTTCCACTTCACCACAGGCCTACTCCTCCCTATTGTCCCATATCTGACCCCTGAAGGCACTTGAGGCGCTTGGGGCAGTGAAGGTGGTGGTCAGAGCCCTGGGTCTGGAGTGAGATGCCCAGGGGTGATCTGCCTGCCACAGGCCATCCTGCGCTGTCTCACTAGGAGGGAGGCAAGTGCTATGAGCCCACTCAGAGCAGTCCTGAGGCTCAGGTGAAGGCCACACCATCAGAGACAGTCCAAGTAGGGTTGCCACAGAAAATGCAGGACACCAGTGCCACTGGAATTTCAGATTGTTAACTATTCGTTGAAATTCCAAAGAAACTGGGTGTCCCATATTTTACTGACGACCCTACCAACCTGAAACGCAGGGCTGCCTGACCCCAAGCCCCTGTTTAATTTTCCTACCGACTCCCCAGTTTCAGAAATGGAGAAACTCAAGTCCAGACGGCCAGGCAGCCACGATTGAGCGGTTCTGAAAGACCTTCCTCTGGGGGCCGCTCAGCCCGAGCTGGGCAGGAGCTTAGACAGATGTGGCAGGACGGAAAAGATGGGGGCGGATGCTGAGCTCAGACACCACCCCGGTGCCGAGGCCCGGCTCCCGCCCGCAGGCCCCGCCTTCAGCCCCCCCAGGCC